GGAATGTGAGGTCGCGCCCCCCTCCCTCCCTCCCCTCTATCCTCCAATCCTCTCACTGTCGCTGGCGGTGCCCCCTCTGTCCACCTCTCTCCCGCTCTCTCTGTCTCTCTCTCCCTCGTTGTCGGCGCGCGGGGGCCTAACTGCGCATAAGTGAGGTAGCAGACGTGGATAAGGCGAATACTTTGCTTTGTCTGCAAATAATGCATGATTCATGCCGATATTTTGGTGACAGTCTCCTGTCTGTCACCGTGTTACTGCGCCACACATCGCCAAAGACGCTTCCTTGACGGCTCCTTCTCTCCGTCCCTCTCCTACTCTCCTTTATCCCCGTCGACCTCTCTGTTTCTCTCTCTCTCTTTGCTCCGCTCTCTTCTTACCTTTTACTCTTCCTGCTAAACAACGAGTTGTATCAGTTTCCGTAAAAGTCGCCCGCGCCGCCGGTCGGCTCGCGCGTTTTGCTCTGTGGTCCTCCCTGCCGGGCAGGCTCGAGGTTCCTGCTGCGCGCTGCGTTCCTTCCTCTGCAGCAGCAGCATTCCTCCTGCCCGCTGCATGCAGTCCTGCGCGGGGGTCCTTCCCGGCTGCTACGTCGATTCATTACACAGGCTCGGGGAAGGATCGGAGGAGCAGGCGCGGTGAAAGTGTTATGATTGTTGTTATTATTATTTTCCGGTGTGGGCCAGCAGTACTTGTAACGCCGTCTACGCGCGCCGCGGTGTCAGTCGATGGGTCGCCCTTCACTCGAAAGAAATCAGTGTCATACACCCCCCGAGAAAACCATAACAAAATCAGGAAAAAAAAATCAACAACGGTAAAATCAAGAAAAAAATATTTGGAAAAAAACAGGGAAAAAATAAAAATAAAAAAATCAGAAAAAATCAAGAAAGATCAGAAAAATTGATGTTCGCTTGCATTTGTAGTAAGGGACCCCTCGGTGTCAGTACACACCACACACTGCCCGCTCTTCTTTTCAGGCGCCGCATAGAGCCTTATCTCCAACGCCGTCGAGTACCAAACAGTGCAGTATACTGGCTGCATAATCGCAGATAACCCGCTTTCAAACTGCACGGACGACGAGCCCGCCCGAAAAGGAGAGATTGATAAAGTATACCCAATAACATGATCGCCTAGAGGCGCCTATTATTATCTCCTTATCGCCCGTCAACTGCGTTCCACCCCGCCCGTGTCAATAAACGAAATGATCCAGCTGTCCGTCACACGGGGTTATTGGATGACTGCAGTTACTGCGTATAATGAAGGTGAGTGCAACGCATGGTATGTGTGGTCAAGGGGGGAAGAGGGGGGGGGAGGGGGTTACGATGCAAAACAAGCGCACGGATAGCTAAGGGGGCCGGGCCCTAGAGGAGGGGAGGGGGCGAATGTGAGATAATATGAGCGAGCAGGGCAAAGGGCAAGGGGGCGGGCAGCAGGTGCGCGCGGCTTGGGGAGGTACGACACGCAGATTACGCAAGGCTGATGTGTGTCTTCGCCCGTATCGCACGTATATCGTGTATCCATCTCCACTACCCTCTTCTCCTCCTTCCCGCGACCCTTCCCCTCCCCCCATCCACCTTCCCGAGAAAGATGGCCTCGCCCATGACAACGTGATGACAACGAGGAGGAGGCGGAGGAGGAGGCGGAGGAGAAGGGGGAGAAGGAGGGTGTGAGAAAGGGGGGGGGGGCTCAGGGGGTTGATGGGCCCAGTTCCCCTGAGGGCGCTGCGTCGCTGCGCTGCAACGCGATCCTCCTGGCGGGTATCCGGTGGCGCGGCGCATCTTTACCTTACCACCGAACCTAACCGGTACATATACCCCGCGGCGGGCATCTCTGTACCCCTCCGAAATAACGGGGGCAGCTTGCCCGGGGGTGGAAGCGCGGCTGTCCAGGGCGGCCCGGAAAACATAAATCAGAATGCTCGGGGCATCCGGCCCAAATGTATCGCTCTGCTTGCTAATGAGTGACAGGGAGAGAGCGAGTTAGTGAACGAGAGAGAGAGCAGAGAGCGAGCGAACGAGAGAGAGAGAGAGAGAGAGAGAGAGAGAGAGGAGTAAGTAAGCGAGTGAGCGATCGGCTATGACTCACCCACACTCACTCACTTGCTCCCGCACTCACCCTCCATAACCCGCTCACTCTCTCACACACACTAGAGTGTATTTGTGTGTGCTATGCCCACATTGCCCCTGAGAACGCACACATACACAGATGCACTCTTTGCCAGAACTGATTATTTTGCCTATGGGGCGGATGTGAACAAGCGGGGGGCTCCTTTT